GTCCAGAGGGGAGGAGTTCGAACAGATTGTGTCCAGGCTGTGAGGGGGCTGCAGTGATCCTCTCCTCCCTCCTTTTGACCCGTGAGGTGTACAGGTCCTCCATGGAGGGCAGGCTCACACCAATGACCTTTTCTGCAGTCCTGACTGTCCGCTGAAGTCTGTACTTGTCCTGTTTGGTTGCTGAGCCAAGCCAGACAGTGATGGAGGTGCAGAGAACAGACTCGAAGATTCCTCTGTAGAACTGTATCATCTCGGTGTAACGTTATTTCTGTCTGCGATTTCCATCAGTGGTCCTCATTCTTTCTGGTTTCATACTTGTTGCAAATCACCAACAAACCGCAGACGAAGAGGAGGAAGAAGCTCACAGGCGTTGTTGGTGTTTTAGAAGTGAATACAACCCCTGCAGTAAACACACACGAAGATGACCCTGCGTTAAAATGTTAATGCATGGTTGCCTTTTATTTACATATACTTTATTTATTTACATATACTTTATTTATTATTTATATTTTAAAAAGTAGGCATGTGCATGGCTGATATCAGCTGGTAAATGCTTTGTGTGGCCATCTAACAGTTACTATTGTATCCAAATGTGTCTTAGTAAACAAAAAATCACTTAAAAACAACAAACCTGGAAAAGGCTCTGTAATAAACACTCTTCATAAACACTTTCAGCAGCTGAAAACTGTAAATGTGGTAATGTGGTTAAGACTGGTGGTGCATCATGAAAACCGCAATCTCGCAACAATATCATGTAGGTTTGATTCCTACCAGAGCTCATCAATTAAACATTTGGGATCACATTTGCCATCCAGCCTACTGAACACCCACCATTCAACAGCTTTTAAGCTATGGGATATTTAGACTTGGTTTAGGATAGAATATGATTCATAGCACAAACTGTCAGGCTAAGCATACAGTATATCTATAGCCTACTACAATCAAACGTGCCAAATAAGAAACATGGTCTCCAACATGAGTTCATGTTTATTTTATGTTTTATTGTGTCAGCTTGAAACCATACAACCATGTATTGTAGTGGAACAGAAATGTGCATGGCAAATCAAATCCCAAACAATCAATGAACCAATAAATGACACGTCTCGACTGCACTTCAGTTTATTGACTCCCAGATGTCCTACTCGAGCACTGTGTCATTGAAGCCGGGATAATGAACCTTTTTTTTTTTAATACTGTGTCGAAGCTTCAACAAAGCCTCGATCAGCTATCGCTATTTGAAACCCGTCTTTATTCATAATAAATATTAGTGATTTTAGATTTTACTCAAAAATAAATGATAGGAATAAGACACAGTTTTGCCTAAAAGCCTAAAACATATCTTGTAACTAAAGGTTTTCCTGTTCCTTCTCTTTAGCACACAGTAAGGCTGCCCTTTAATGGTGGCACACAGCAATACGCCAGTCTTAACAAGTGTGACCCAAGCTTTCAAAACTGGAAATCAAAAAAATCACTACACATAACCCAATGGACCAATACATCACACTAGAGAAAATGGCATCCACTCACAAGAATAGTAGTGTGACCCATTGCTTCCTGCTAGTCAAATGAATGGCAATTTAATGGTACAAATAACAATGTATGTACAGTGGTGTGAAAAAGTATTTGCCCCCTTACTGATTTCTTATCTTTTTGCATGTTTGTCACACTGTAATGTTTCAGATCATCAAACAAATTTAAATATTAGTCAACGATAACACAAGTAAACACATCATGCAGTTTTTAAATGAAGGTTTTTATTATTAAGGGAAAACAAAATCCAAAACTACAAAGCCCTGTGTGAAAAAAAAAAACCTCCCATGTTCGGTAATGTTTTGTTAATGTGTTACTTTGTTTCAATAAAAAAAATAAAAAAATAAATTTAAAAAAGTGTGACCTATTGCTGCCTGCTAGTCAAATGAATGGCAATTTAATGGTACAAATAACAATGTATGTACATGATCACAAATTTTGTGAGCATGTGTAGGAAAGATATGTATGTAAAAACGTTTCTGACCATGTGAATAAAATCTGTAAATAAATTATGTTACACAAAGACACTGAAAACAAGCGTGTTTGTGAACATCTGTGTACAGGCAGAAAGTAGCAAATTGCACATTCAACTCTATTTAGGAGTACTGAGGTTTAATGTGAATCACACTTCAATTTGATTGGACAAAGATCAGGGGATATAGGATACAGTTTAACAAATTGTTTGCACCTGTATGTTTCCGCCCTGATGAAGACCAGGTGAGATACAAACCGGCCGGCATTTTTTTTTTTTTTACTGATGCCCTGTTACAGGTAAGAGTGCTGCATTCAATGTGTTGCTTAAGTAACAGTAAATGCAATAGCAGTGAAATATACCTAAATTATCAAAAGTAAAAGTAGTTACTGTTGGTTTGTATGATTTTCCTGACAAAATAATTTGAGCAACTTTGATATAAATTGTAATGAAAATTCTCAAATTTTAACATGGAGCACAAATTGTGTATTGCTTTAGCAAAAACTGTTCTATCTGTAATGTTTATGGCAAACATTGTCATAACATAGTGATTGACCATTGCTCTCAAGTGAAACAGCTAATTGATAGTATTCACTGTGGATAAACTTGTAAGCAACTTTGAATAAGCTGATTGTGTTAACTCTGTCACAGGTCCTGATCCTCCAAATGTCTGGAAACAAGGCATCCATGGCTCTGGACTTCTTCCTTGATGCTGCAAAGAAACCTGACTTTACATCCAGGTATTCCTGTTTTTGACAACATATGTGCATTTAGCTACATCAGGATTTAATTTTATAGCAGTATGTTAAACAATTCTCTAAATTAGGCTTCATAGTAGTAACTCTGCTTTTCAGTCATTTAAAGCTGACAACTTTGATACAGTCAACCTTGTAGACTTGCATCATAATTTGATTGCACGCTTCAGTCCTCCACAATTAGAACAAAATAACTTTTCTCCCACAGCCTCCAAAGATGATCTTGACATTGTTAGAACAGCCCTTCACTGTGAATGGAAGACTGTCAACCCCTCATGAGGACGATGAGGTAAGAGCAGCTATTTAGTGACTATTTTTGTAAAAACTTGTCACTTAATCATGAATACATATTTTCCATTGCAGAGGTTCCATTTTTCCAGGTGTGGATCATGCTGGAGTACAGTGAAGTGAATAAGCTCCATATATCATTCATATTAAACCATTACAAGAAATTGAGTTGTAATAGCTTTACTGAAGAGGGGGAAAAAGCCTGGAACAAGGCTGAAAAGACTGAAATTGTGCGGTTTCATTATGTTCCACTTTTTTCCTTTTTTTAATGGCACTGTTCAGTTCTAGGTTCTTTACTGCAATTACATTTTGGAATTATTGGTTCTTTACTGCAATTACATTTTGGAAATTTTTAATGACAAATCTCCCTCTCATGTAAAAATTAGTAGATGTGCTCTGTGAGTCGCACCTCACAATACTCATTTTTGGCTGTGAGCTATTTTCTTAAAATAACTTGACACCCTCTCAGTTTTGATGTTCTAGCCTCATCTTAACATCGATGGATACTGTTACAGTGAGTATAAAAAAATGTATTCATATGATTATTTCAATGTTTTTATTTATTATTTTTATTGAACACTGGCATTCTTTCTTCACCATGTGTAAACTTTAAACTTATTTCTCCTCAAATCCCCCTTTTCTTCTCCCAATCTCATACAAGTTTTCATATGCAGTCAAAAAAGAAAACATTATGGTAACACAAAAGCTTGCATGCTTTGAGTTTAAAACAGGCAGATATCTTTTAGTAATTCCAAATAGAACTTAAAAAGTCCAGATGTGGTCACTGAACTCCCCCAGCATGAGTTTTTTTTTTTTTTTTTGGTCTACTGCTCAGGAATGACTGGCTAGATTTGAACATAGTTTATTCTACTTTGATGTGGGTTTTAGACGTTTGGTCAAAGGTTTTACCAAACTGTTTAGTTGCATAAAGTTTATGCATTGATGCACTTTGCATATAGCATCTATTCTATGTGATGGTAAGACTGGCACAGACTACAACTAGCATATGGCAACAAAAACATGTCACTTTACCTAATATTTGGTGTATTTAGATAAAAACATGTAAACATTACAAGACCTGTAAGGTCATGTGTTATTGCTGGCTCAGTTGAAAATACCCTTAAAAAATTAAAGGAAATGCACCTAGAACTTAAAGCTAACTAGCTACAAAGTAGTGATAATTTGTTCATTTGAATCCTTTGTCCTTTATCTATTTAATCCTAAAGTGATGGTTTGAAGGGCAGACTCACACTAAGGTTTCTTGCTCAGATAGTTTGAGGGGCATCCACCCCTCGACTTCTCATATTTTTACATATTCTCACTTTTTAACTGGGGCTTGGGGGGAATGGGGGCTTTAACTTTGGACTATTCTTTCTCTGTTTGCAGGTGACTGAACAGACCCATTGGGTTTAGGGGGTGGGGGTCTGCTGAGCTGTGGTGGTCCAGCCTTGGGAACATCCTGTTGCTCACAATTTTCTCTACCATTTTCCATGTACAGGTGCTGGTCATATGATTACAATATCATCAAAAAGTTGATTTATTTCACTAATTCCATTCAAAAAGTGAAACTTGTATATTATATTCATTCATTACACACAGACTGATATATTTCAAATGTTTATTTCTTTTAATTGTGATGATTATAACT